AAACCGGAATTTTTCTTATTGGGAATTATAGAAAGAAAATATAAGAAAGACACAAATTATTTACTACTGCATATAGTAACAGCGGCACGAATAGCCTTCGCTCAAAAATGGAAAGAGAAAGATACTCCAACCGAAGAGGAAATATTATTGAAAATTTTCAATTGCGCTGAAATGGATAGACTTACATGGGAACTCAAGGGCAAAAGTGAAACCAAGTACTATAAAATCTGGGAACAATTTTATGATTGGATAGACAATAAGAGGGTAGCCAAGATAAATGTATAGTGCTAGAATAAAATATAGATTATAGACAAATGTATATTTAAAAGATAGATATATAGAAATAAGGGAAAAAGTGTTAATAGTATATTATAAATAGTGAGCAAAGTTCAAGAACTATATGTCTACATGAGTACTAATACTATTGTAAAATGTTGGAAGATGTATGGAACCAGTGACGTCATATCTATGTCCAATGTATTTTTAATTTTGTATTATTAATAAAAATTAAAAAAAAATCACTTGCTTTTTTTTCTCCCCATCCTCTTCACCAAACAAGGAGGTTGGAGAGAAAGAGATGTAAAGAGAGTACTCTAAGCTGTTTGCATAGCCTGCTCACAGTTGCCAGTCCCAGGCTGTGGGGCAATTGCATTCCTTTCAATGTGTATAAGATAATAAGCAGGCACTTGAGCATTCCAAAGGACAGGGGATGGTTAGGAGGCAAACAAAAGCCAAAGGCAGTGATGGCTTTTAGAGACTGAGTGCCCAAACTGCAACCCAAAACCCATTTATGCATCTTCGAGTGCCGGGTGGGTGTGGCCCATGGGCTGGGTATAGCCTATTGGGTGGGCATGGCCCATTGGGTGGGTGCGGCTGCGGTGATAACGGCAGATTGGGTGGGACTAAAAAGTTCAATCAATCAATTCCAACTTTGCAAGACCTTTTTTTTTCCACGAGAAGTTGAAATTGACTGGTTGAACCTTTTTTTTTTTTTTTGCACACGGTGGCGGAGGCCTAAAACGAAAAGATTTTATAAAACCCAGCTGAAGGCCTAGGACTGGGGCGACAGCATGCGTGCCCACAGAGAGTGCTCTGAGTGCCGCCTCTGGCACCCGTGCCATAGGTTCGCCACCACTGGCCAAAGGTGTAGTCTTGTCTCTTTCCAGCTGGAAAAGACTCTTGCGGTCAAACGATTCCCACTTAGAAACTCTTTCACTTAGCAGCAAGGTTATTTATCCCAACTGGGGTTATTTATTTGTTTATTTAGAAAATTTATTTGCCGCCTAATACCCTGAGTTACCAACTCTGGGCGGCTTACAATAAAAAAAAAATTAAAACTGTATACAAAGATAAAAGCACAAGTAAAATACATATAAAATAAAACAAATACAGCAGCCCAATTAAAACATGGGGATGGTAGGAGCAGCATGGGGGTGAGGTGGGATCTGTTGTTAATTGATCAACCACCTCCACTGTGATATTATTAAGTGAGCCCCTAATAGTCAGATGGAGGGGCTTCGTTCAAATACCACGCTGAGTCAGTTTGTTCAGTCATGGCCTGTTAATATAATCTAGTGGTCACATTTGCACATAATGTTCACTGTGCCAGACTACTGACATGGACCGCAATTCTTAAAGAGTGCTGAATATGAATATGTAATTGATTGAAATAGTGCTACCTCAATATAGCCCTGCTGGTCAATGAGGAGATTCTCAGGCTTCAAGTCTCGGTAGATAAGATCTAGTGAGTGCAGGTACTCAAAAGTCAACACAATCTGAGCAGCATAGAACCGGGCATGAGGTTCACTGTAAAACAACAACAACAACAACAACAGGAAAGCAGGGGGAAACATTTTCATTACTGATTTTCAAACAATGTCAGTTAGGCTTTCATTCTACAGGCACTGACAAGGAGCCAGATGTTCCTTTCCCCTTTTTCAATGCAAACTTAATTTTTCCATCAACTGTCTTATAAGAGCAAGGCTAGACTAAAGCTGTGCTGAAGCTTTTTTCTTACTCTGATTTTACCAGTGTTGTGCCCAAATCAACCAACAGTCATTTGATGAAAAGTATTAAGCTCCTGAGATCCTACCAGGCTTGGCCATCTAGCCATAAAACAGTTTCCATCCTATCTTTTGACTTTATCTCAAACTGTGTAAACTCTGTATCAGAGATTAGCAGGGCACGCAAAAAAAAAAAAATCATAGATTTTTTCCTAGATCTACTCAAATACAAAATTAAAGAAACTGGAAACGATTATTGGGTTTGCTCCCTCTTTAATACCAGGGAATCAAATATAAAAACTACACTACCCAGTTCCTCTTTTCCTAACTAGCATAGTCCCGTCCTTGCAGTGATGAGGGAACACACCTACCTGAACCTGCCAATCCGCCGTAGGTGGGAGAACATCTCACCACCTGGGATGTATTCCATCACCATGTACAGATTTGAATTATCCTATAATTGAATGCAGAAATAAAATAAGAGTGATAATAACAAGTAGTGCTTTGTTCCCCTCTTCACCTCTGATGATTCCTAGTACACAACTAATCAATTATTACAAAAAGACAACTGCCTTTCTAAAGGAATGC